TGATTTGATTTTCATTGATAAATATATAAAATATCATTGGGTTATCATTTGAATTGTAAGAATTTTCCCTACATGATTTTGTTTTTAAGTCAAGTTTTGATATAGCTTATAATTACTTTTGATTATAAGTGATTTTGTGTATCAACACAATCAAAGGAAAAATTATGAAAATTCACTTGCACACCAAGTGTTTGATAAATTGACTAAACTAGCTATTTTGATTTTATTATTGGAAATAGCCTTGTTAAGAAAAATTGATTAAACACTAAATAAGTTGCAAAGTGATTCAAGGTTATTAATTCAATCGTACTCATTCCATCTTAATTTTTTATTTACGGTTTACATATCTGAGCTTCCCGATAACGTCTGTAAAGATCACAATTTGCATCTACTTCACACTTTGATAAGACTTTTTCAAAACCAAAATTTATTTGGATATTTTAAAAAGGGGTATTTATTCAACCCCCCCCCCCCCCCCCCTTAAGAAAAATTGATTAAACACTAAATAAGTTGCAAAGTGATTCAAGGTTATTAATTCAATCGTACTCATTCCATCTTAATTTTTTATTTACGGTTTACATATCTGAGCTTCCCGATAACGTCTGTAAAGATCACAATTTGCATCTACTTCACACTTTGATAAGACTTTTTCAAAACCAAAATTTATTTGGATATTTTAAAAAGGGGTATTTATTCAACCCCCCCCCCCCCCCCCCCCCCTTTTCTAAATACCGTTGCCTTCGCCCAACAACCTATAACATTTCAGCTTCGTCAATGACGAAGCTCAACCCCAATAACATTAAAATAACGATCATTGATCGTACAAATACATACTTAATACGTTATTATGACTCCTAACATTGCAAATACTAAAAAAATTAAATTTTCTACCCTATAACATAATTTGTAGGTTAAATTACATAAACTCCAAAAAGCTCAAAAACAACTTATAAGTGATGATTTTTCTTGCTTGAATCTGCTTGAACACTAAAGTTTATCTGATTCTTGATGATTTCGGATGAGCTTTTCACAAAATGGATTGATTTTGATACAATGGGGTTTGATAGGGTTTGGTTTTTGTGTGTTGAGTATTTTTTTAAAATGTTTCTGAAAATGAGGAAGGGGATGAGGCAACGCGTGTTTAAGTGTCAACACGAACCGAAAATACAACTATGGTCTTAACTGTAAATGCATTTCCGCTTTGTATATGCATGTTAGCTTGAGTTTCTCAGTCTTAAAAATTGTGTGTATTTTGGGTGCTTCCTGAAATACAATTACGGTTCCACTCGTAGTTGTATTTCCGATTAGTTATCAACTATTACATAGGGTTTCGTCCACCATAATCAAGGTATGGGTGTGTACTAGAAATATATTTCCGGTTTTCAGGAACATTTTTGTATTTTTACGTGGTGCGCTAGAAAACTATGGGTGGATTAAGATATTTCCTAATTAAACTAATTTAAGCCCAAATCTCACAAAACTTTCATATCGCAAACTGCAAAACAGAGATGAATATATATATATATATATATATATATATATATATATATATATATATATAACAAAAGAGAGATGATCGGAGAAGGCGTGCACGGCGGTGGAAGTCGTAAGGGGAGTTTTTTTGGGGTTTTTTTTTTGTGTGGACTCAAGAGTATGGTTTACTTGAGAATTTTGCTGTGAGATTTTTAAGCGAAAATTGTGTGTAAATTCTTAGGTTAATAAATAAAGACTTTGATTTTTGGTCATATTGAGAAAATTATATCGATAACTTTAAATTTTTTTTCTTGATCAGTAAGTTGATTAATTGTGACCAATCAAAAGACAGTGTAACAAGGCATGACAAATCAAAAGCAAATGTGAAAAACTAGAACCAATTCGAAAACACGTGTGATAAATTGTGAGATATTCTATTTTTTTATATTTTTGGTATTAAAATTGAAAATAAATAATAAAAAAAATTAAAAAGTACCTATTTAAAAAATACGAAAATATATTAAATAACAAATAAATGACATGCAATGAGGTTCAAATACACGACCATGTGCTTGATATCCATGCCTAGCTACCAATCAAACTGACTTACACTTTTGGTTTTTTTAAATGCTCCTAAAAATAAAGACACTTGAACAAAATTGGAGTATGACAGTAGATTGTGTGTATAAGTATGAGTTAGAAAAATTGGTTTTTGATGTTGAAAATAAGGGTTAAATTGTTGGTATTGTTGTTGTTGGGTGTTATGCATGTTTCGATACGTATTAATGAATGTTTGAGGTATGTTGATGCAATTGGGTTGTGTTGGGGATATATGTATTAATTGATGGTTTGGTGTGTTGGAAGTTTGAAGATGGTTGTTCACGTGGGTCAACTAGTAATTATTATTTTTTTGAAGATATGGCTAGTTAAAATTGGTGTATACCATGTCATGTGTTCACTATTTGATTTATATTTTGTTGTTATGATAAGATATCCAAATCATAATTGTGGCGGTCATTTGACTTTTGACTTTTATAATGTTCTTTGAAGTACCTCAGTGGATCTGAAATGTTCTAATTAGGGGTGTACACGACTTTTATTGAACGAGATTTGACATAATTTGTTACCTAACCCATTCAAATTTTAATGGGTGGAGTTCATCCTATATAGTGTTATATTTGTAAAAGACTCTGTCTAGGGCGATGCTCTTAGACCGTCCTAGAAGAGGCGACGATAGAAGGTCGCCTAAAGAGAGATATCGACTCACCGTGTTGTCTTCGGTCGCCCTTACGTGAGAAACGTGGGATTAAACGTTTCTCTGACAGAGAGAAAATCAAGGTCATTAATTGACTCAAGACTCCCTTGGAAATGGGAATTCAATCGTCCACTATTGACTAAAGTGAGTGATGACCCTTTCCCAGAAACCCCTAGGTCCTAGAGGCCCATATAAATACATCTCCTTTCAAGGAGAAGGGACAGACTCCAAGTGATACATATTCTCTGCACCCTGAAGAACACAACACTCATTATAGCCTTGATACACGACCGCTTCTAATTATATGCTTGCTACCAAGCATCTCTGGTCATCAGTAGAGCCTCCCACCTCACGTGAGCGGACCTCCTAAATCACCTAAAAACACCATGGTACATGTCTTCTTACCGTTGTGGGCAAGCCCTAACTCCATAAACTGTTATAAACCTACTAAAGCCTCTGAGTACCTCTGCCCTTGCAGGGGGAACATGCACACCCGTACTTTTTTACCAGTATAGTGGTGCCTCAGTAAAACTAACATGAGCCACACATCCAGTCTAATTCTCTCCATATTCCCCTGAAGATGGGCGGCAAAACCACAACCTACAACACAAGCACCATCGCCAAAGACTTTCGGAGGTAACTCTAAATTTTTTCAGAGGAAGTACGCACAACAGGTATTTGCGGAAAACACAATATCCACAGGCTACTCCAGAGACTATCAAGAGAAAACATGGATCAATATCATTTTCTCCAAAGAGAACTCTACCCTCACAATAATGATCCTCTGATCATCATTATGTAACATGGAAAATAATTTTAGTCCATTCAAAATCAATCTTCACTAATATACAATTGTCCCTCTTCCTTATCAAATCACGAACTTCATTAAGAAGAAACACCTGAGCAAGACTCAAGCGCTTTGGGAAAGAAAGTGTTTTGACATTTCGAAATCAAGATACTACCTCACAATTTAATCTGCATACAGTTCCCACAGTTTTCGTTTTCCATCAATCGAACTAGAAGGCTAGACATAAACAACATAAAACAAATCATTATATTTCCTTCCCCGCACCTAAAAACTTTCTCAAGAGAATGTTAATCGAACATCCACAAAGCCAGACCTCCAGATACTCAAAAATTAGATGCCACCAACCCCGTCAATAGCTGGTTTGGCTGCCCAAATACTAGTTTACAACTCAGAATCAATTTTTACACAAACACTAGACAAGTGAAGCATGAAACATGAAAAATTCACCAAGCACTCATACGTTTAGATCAAAAAGAGTAATGCTGTCATCCTTATTTTTTTCAAAAATAATCCAAAAGAGTGATCTTGTTTTACTATTTTTTTCTGCTCTTAACTTTTACTATTATTTTAAAAAATATCTGCCAAATTTTAATAATTTCTTTATTTTGCATAATATATAAAAAGAATAAAAATTTAGCAGTAAAGTGAGAATCATAGAGTTGTTGTTCCAACAATCTCATGTTTTGTTATGATATTTACATATAATATTCTACATTTGGTTCGTTTATCAATTGACCACTTTCAAGAAAACAGATCCAATCCAATATAACACTAATACATTCAAATTTAGATTTTTGTATGATAAACTCTAAATATAAATAATATTACATGGCTCATAAATGAATACATTGAAAATTTTGCAACCTAAGACTACCCCTGCATTGCACGGCACAGGTCAAATGTAAGTACAACAAATAATGAAAGCAAATACATTTAGGGAATGTAAAGTATTGCTAGAGGACAAAATTGTTTTTTTTTTTTTGTTTATATAACTGTTGGATAACATTTTTGTCATCAAACAAAAACAAACTTTGCGCAAATTATAAATCCAGAGAACTAGAAGGAATCATTCTACTTGATTCTCAGCTATGAATAATTTACATCATGAAGCATAATAAAATCTTGAAACAAACAATTTCACTGTCTATATGAGTTATACTGCCTTTGCTCATGCACAACTCTTCGTACTGCTCACCAATAACACAGTGGGAAAAACCTCAACACCAATTAGCTATCTTGAAAACTGTGAGGGTACTCAGATTTCTTAATGCTTTTTGCCGGAAATGCAGTGAAGTTTCCAGGTTCCTTATTGAGTGATTAAGTTTATAACAGGTGTGTTACCCTCATCAACCCTATAGGCTATTGCCTCTTCCACAAAACCGCATCGAAAAATTATATCGAAAAATTGAGCACCCATAGCACAGGCATCTTTTTGTTGCTTCTTAAAAGCTCTCCCATTATTTTCTATGAATTTACATTGCACTCACTCAAGAGTTGATCCTCTTTGTTCAGAAACTTCTTCCAATAGCTCTTGTAGTTTGGAATTCCCAGATCAAGCCATGGTTTCATTTTCCCATTGTAGTGTAGTACTGGAGCTGTTTTAATGGAGTTAGAGTCAATTTTGTAATCATAACCCAATCCAGACCGCACCCACGACTCATTGAGTGGATATATTTTATTCTCGAATGTGAGCAAGCTTGCAGGCCATGTTGCAGCTATATTGAATCCTTTTTGTTTACTCAACTATATAAGGAAATAAATAACATCATAAGGTAAATAACACAATACTCAACAAACCACATCGTGCAATCATCAAGGATAACATAGTTCTTTAGGTAATTTTATATTTGCTATGCTATATGACTCACCTAATGTAAAGACTACTTCTGACCTTTCACAAAAAATTCCTAATAAGGAAAAACAACAAAGAAACCGACAGGGGATTCCTATACACAGCATTCGGGCAGGAATTTAATTGTGTCAAGCTCTCAGTCCTATTGGACTGTGTTCCTTTTTATATCTTTTAACCGGAGTTCAAAATAATTTCCAAATAATTTATTTAACTAACTTGTATTGAAAGATTTCAAAGTAAAAGACATAGATTTGACTTTATTTAACTAACAATATTATTTCCAGTACTGCTATATCCAATAATAGTGTTTTCCAAAAATATTGTAATGCAGATTTAGGGATTTTAGCCACTAACCTCTTTTATCAACTTTTTGTAAGTTTGAGTAAGACCAAGCTTTCTCCACTTCACTAGATCAATTATGTTTAACCCTGACATCCACGCACATGAATTATGACTAAAACCTTTCCCGCCCAGATAACTTTTCAGCTGACCTAGCCTTACTGAGCAGAATTGCACTGCACCATTAACTTTTTCACCCATGTCTAGGTTCCAAAGGGCTGACAAGTCTTGCTGAATAACAACGTCGTCGTCCAGAACGACAACTTTCTTCAACTTGCTGAATATATCAGGAAGTAAATAATGTGAATGAGAAAACATTGAAACATATTCTGTTCTAAACTGGCCCGCAGATGGATTATCATAACTGCGAAATGAAACACGAAATTCTTCAGGCAAGGAAAGTTGTGATGGATTGTCTTTTATGCTATCCATCTCAAGATGCTCAACATTTAAAACTTGAACAGCCGCTTCCCTATAATTGTTCTTCTTGAACCAAAGCTTCATTGCATAATAATTTTGTCCGTCAGACAACACATGAAAAACCTGATTCCGACTTACCTGAAATTATTGTGCAGCAACAGGTGAAATTATTAAAATTGCTTCTAAAATTCAACCTCTATCAATTCACTGGTGCATGATTAGAAGCAAAGCATACTTTTGCATGAGTTACGGTGGAGTTAATAACCACTGACGCAGCAAGCACATTATTAGAGAAAATAACATAATGGCGCAATGAAGAATCTTCAAATTTTTCTGAATCAGCCTCATCATGTGAAGATTTGAAATATTCAACAGTTAGTTTCAGTGCCAGGCAGTGAAAACTCTTTGGCATTGTCAGAACGTTGAGTTTATATAGGAATGCACTCTGTTTCATGTGGAAATCAGCTTCATCCTCAGTCAGATCATATATTTGTCTCAATTTCTTATCAACATTGTCGCAAACCACGGGGACTGATTTAGCTTTGGATATTGCAACTTGCATCTTCTCTGATTTAGTCTCAACCCTAGAAAATGATTTTGAATACCATGTAAAATTTCTTGTAGACTGTAGTAACTAAAATGAGAAAAAGTATTTTTGCATGAGGGGGTATGTTAAAAGCATTCATGGGCTAACACCTAACATCCTAAGGTTTTGAAGAGCTGTTGATGAGTCCTGACATGCCTTAAAGTCAAGTTCGCGTGGAAAATAGCATTGGGTTTAAGGTCAAACAACATAATGGATATCTTAAACCCCAAGATAGAACAGAGTTGAGATAAGAGAGAAAAATAAGGACATGCTATGCAGTATAACGTATTAGCCCAAGAAATTGTCTACGGAACCATAAATGATGCTAAAAACAAGTAGTAAAGCAAATAGAAGTTAAAGACAAATATATAGAAGCTAATAAAACTAATACGGGACACTAGTTGTTTTAGGAAATAAACTAATTTAACTGCACTAAGGACTCTAATGTCAGAAAACATAACAAAAACATTTGGATCCAAGAAATTACCAAAAGCCAGATCTGCAAGCAAATTAGAAAACTGAAAATCAACATTTTTACAAGACTACTTGATTGAGGGTGAACTATGTTCACAAAAAAATCATCAGATACAATAACTTTTCAAGTAGGAAAGCAACTAAAACAACTAAGCTAGGGGACAAAAGATACAACTAAGCTAGGAAAGCAACTTTTCAAATGATATCAGCTTACAGTGGTGGGAGATCAGCGTCTGTAGAAGATTCACTAAGCACATGCTCCAGCTCTTGTATACTCTGTTTGAGTTCGCGAGACAGTTTGTCTTGTGCTGGGAGTTTTGCGATGCTAGGATAATAAGATCTAGCCACAAATAGTTGGTCTTTCAATTTCTTAACCATGGCATCTTTCATAACTTCTTTATGTTTTTGTTGCCACAAACAATAACTACCATATGTGAGCTCACACGACTTTCCATTTTCATCAGGAGAATTTGTCTTAGGGTCGGTGACTTGCTCAATGCGACCAACTTTAGGATTCTGTTACAGAATATAAATTTGTTCAAGTAGCTACAAGAATAATATATATAATAGCTTTTAAAGGAGTCTGCTGGAAAGTACTAAGTTATAAAACTTGTTTTATAACACTGAGACTGAGTGTTATCTGGCTGTTGTTATATCTCTATGTTTTTCTGCAAGCTGGCTAACTATTTAAGTGGAGCGTTAAGAGTTTCAGTTTTATGTTAGTACTTAGTGTGCTGTGAACATTATAGGATAAGGCTAAAGATTATACTAGTTATAGAAGATTCTGCCTACTAAGATTAATAGTATATAAGTCTCTCAGCCTCAATTAATGACTTGGGTTGAACTATTCTGAGCAATTATGTGTTCAACAAATGACAATGATATATTCATACATTAGAAGTTGGGGGTGGTTGCAGAGCAGATTTTGGTGGCGCCTTGACACCTGAAAATTATTTAAAATTAGAAATTAAAAAAAGGAAATGATTTCCGTGAAGGTTTCATGAGGACATAAGATATTGAATCCATAGAAGCACACCTCTATGTTTTTCTTCATTGGCACCCCTACTGATGGTGCTATTCTTATTTCCTCGAGCATAATTCTTCATAACATCCTGACATGCAAAATTATTATTGATATATGATAACTAAGTATTGCCACATATATTCTGGATGGCATATAATGTCGTATTGCCAACCCCTTCAGTTCCATGTATAAGTAAGGAGGACTCTTACTTAACTTGATCTTGTGAATCTTATAATTTTAGACAAATCAGTACATTTGTACCCCAATCTCACAACTTGTCAATCTGGAACAAGGAGTTAGTAAGATTTAAGAACTGTCTGCACCAAACTTTGCAATGTAAAGGGGCCACTTTGGTATGGAACCATTTATTTGAGGATTTAGAACAGTATTAAATGTGTCCTACTTCAAAACAATTTCTAATGGTTAGGTACAAAGGCTTTGCCAAAAACAGAGACAAATATTTTGTGGGATTGAGAAGTTTATGCAATCCAAGGAGTGTTTGGTTAGTTAGGATAGGATTACCTTGATACCTCTCAAGTCTCAACTAGGGGATAGGAATGGGTACATACTACTTGACTTTCTTCTAATGTCTGTTTAAAAATAGCGGTGATTTCAAACATACATATTCCACTGTTCTTTTATGTTTCTTTTCTTTTTTTCTGTTCTGGAGGAATCAGTGTTCTCCTGTTACCTGTGTTTTACCCAAATTTTTCTAACAAATTCATTTTTACTGTATTAAAACCAACAAACTATGCAACTTGAAAGGATGAGATCTTAGGTTGACACGAAACCCAAAAACCTTACGTTGATGACAATTACAGAAACATTGTCTACATGGAGTTTTCCTTTCAATTACATTAGGCAAGAATAAACAGACGAGATAATCGGTTATTTATAAATATATTTTTTATCATACAAATTTCTAAATAAAGAAGTATAAAAATTAACCATTAGAGTATTATGCAGAGAACCTTGGGAAGAGTTGGTTCAAACTTAGTGATCAGATCCTTCACATGACTTGATTTTTCTCCCTGCGGAAGAAATTTACACAAAAAAAGACATCACTCGTGGATTTGGGGTGGTAAGATTTCTGTTTTTGAATGTTTGGCTTATTCACCGAGCACACTATTACTGGTAAATTAGTAAAAGGATTAACTGTTTACCCAATTTCTTTGCTTTGAGAATATCCATCAAACTTGTGCATGAGAATTAAAAATTTAAAAATTATTCACATATTTGACTATTCAAAAATTGACAATTTACGTTTAAGTAATGGTATCTCTTAACTACAGTAAAAACAGTGAGGTTACCATGACAAACACTATACTGCAGAAGATTGCTAGAAGAAAAAGAAGGCGTATTTAAAATAGCTTGGGACTAAACCACCATACCTCAGACTTTTTTTCGGTGTGGCCAACATTGTGTCTATCGTAACTTTCAAGAACTTTATGACTCTGATTTGGAAAATGACACAAGAGAAAGTGAGAAATAAAACAACAATTTCAACATGATAATACTAAATTAAGCTGGAAAAAATTGGCACAGGTTCACAGATACATTTGAAGTGAATGCTTACCGAAGGAGTACTTCTCTGTTCATATATATATCCTGCAAAAACACAATGACAACCAGAGACAAACGGTAAGATAAAAAAACAATTTACACAAAATAAACAAATAAACTGCAATCCCATTTAGCCCAACACTATCTTCACAAACACATTACCAATAAAGAATAACCAATCATAAGAGTATTTGGCAGAATACATTGTAGTTCCAATGTAATGCAACCAGAAACTAAACCTAAATTCGCACGAGTTCCAAAACTCTGTTATAACTAGTGACCTTTTTCATAAATAAATTTTGCACACTATATACATTGTGAGAGAATGAAATTCAACTCAAAAACAGAACTCTAGTTCTCCTAATAAACACACAAGAGTTTAATGGTCATACAGTGACAGTTAAAGTTAATTTACGTCCAATAAAAACCCCCAGTCTGTCATGTAAGTAATACTAATAATTTATAAATATCTTCGTGATTTGACAGAATACACTACAAATGCACAATTGTAAATATGAGTATCAGCAATCATTAATAAATAAAAATATCCAAAAACAGACATTTATGACAGAATTAAATTGGATTAAATTAAATTATATAATTAATCCATCATTGATATAACGTGCATTGAACTTTCCTCTATTAAATTGAAAACAGGAAACATAAGAAAACGAAACGATGCGTTATTCACATTGATAATACTATACACAGATCTTTAAGAAGCGGCAAAATTAAACGAGTCACACTGAAAGTACTATCAGCTTAAAGCAATATAATTAACGAGAAAACGAAGGAATAAACAAAAATCGATTAACATTGGATCTATAGCGTATAAACATGGCGAATGATGCGTAACATGATTCTGAATGAAAAATAGGTGTGATTGATGTGGATCTGTTCCGTACGAAGAATGTGATGAAAAAGAAGAACGTGAAATTGAATTGAGAATTGTAGAACGATAGATCTCAGTGATTTAGAGCGAGATCAAGTACCGGAAGAGTGAAAACCGTTGTGGAGACCGAGCAAGAAGACGAGAGGGACGAGCATGGAGAGAATGACGAGGCCGAGAACCGCGATTACGAACCCTCGCCACCGTCGTTTCGCGGGGACGCCGTACGATGGAACCGCGCCCAAACTACCGCTCTTCATCGTTTTTTCTTCCGATTTCTTCAATTTCTCGCTTTCTCTATTTATCTTTCCCTTTTTCTCACTTTACTAGTTTTGTTTTGTACTTTTTCTGTTTTTTGTTTTTATTTTTTTTATTTTTTGTTTCAAGATGATAACACTTGTTTGAAAATAATAATAATAATATAATAATAAATATAAAATATTATGAATATTATTAATATTATATTTGTAATAATAACTGGACTGTAATCAATCAACCGCCGACTGAGGAAGTTAGTTTAGCTTGATCTGCCAACAATGGAAATAAATTGGATCTGGTCTGGTGGTACAAATCAATTATTTATCGACTCCTCTCATGCGTTCAAATCAGGGTGTTTTATATGATTTTAAAAAGTTAGGAAACATAACCGTAAAAACTAACCTAGGATTAAAATTAATTGTATTTTGTTTATTTATTTTTACTCAAATCTTAAAATAATTTAATTGAAATATATCGATGTCAACTGTTAATAACAGTGGTTGATTAATTTGAAATGCTTAACTTTTATTATTATGATATATTGATAGTGTAAAATATTTTATTTTACATTAAACAATTAAACTCAGCCTAAAAATTGGGATATGCAAATTTTTGATAAACAAACGCTTAAACTTTTATCTATGCATTTTATATTTTTTTACATAAACTATTATAATGGTAAGATGTAAACTCAACCTCAATAGTAATTAGGCTAATAGATAAAGAGATTTGAAGGTGATAAAACAGGTGTGATTTGTTGAATATGTCTATTTTTATCTATATATTTTGAGAGGCGGTCTAAGATTTTAACATCACATCATATAATATGATTGTCTCGATTAATCCTCTTTTTTTTTGTAAGTTTTACGGTGTGACTCGCATGTTCACTCCATCCTCTTTTGGTAAATGCCATTAGGAACAAGAAATTTTCTAAATTTGCATTTCTCAATGGTGTGACCAACATGACAACAATAATGACATAAACCATGATGATGGATTTTCTTACTTTTGTTCATTGAATCCTTTGGAATCTTTTCTACAAAGGAATATTTTGCATATGGTGGATTCAAAGTTTTCTTAAAAAACCTAGGATCAACTGCAAAAGTAACCTTGGGCTTAAAGCTTTTTTTCAATTTGGCATTAAGAGTTCTAACCTCTTGTTTTCAAATATGACAAGCTTCACACTCCCTTATTAGAATACATCCTATAACATCCTTATCTTTTGAACTTTCTGCAATACTAGCTTTTAGATACTTGAAGTCTTTTCAGCTTTATAGACTTTACCCTCCAAAAAAGAAAATATTTGTTTATCGGAGGATAACCTCTTAAAAGCGTCTTCAGCTTCGTTATGCAGTTTTTCAAAAGTTATTTTTAGTTCAGAAAAAGACATAGAAGAAAAATTGTTATAGTAGGCTTGTCTTACTTTCTTGTCGTGGTTGCTCTTCTTGTGGTAGGACTGATTTTTGGTATGTGCTATGAGACATAAGTTTGCAGTCTCATAATTATCACTTGAACTGTCATCATTTAATGAATCACTCTCGCTTCCCCACGCAATGTAAGCTCTATTTTATTTATTGAACTTCTGTGGTGGAGCTTTTCCTTTATCCTTTTTCATCATTGGACACTCTGGTTTGTAGTGCCCAACTTTACCACAATTGTAGCAAGGTCATTTACCTCTATGCTTCTTATTCTCTTCTTGTCTTGGCTCTTTGGACTATTTTCGAAAATTTATGAGATTCTTATCGGAGTGCTTGATTTCATTCTTTTGAATAAACCTATTATATCTCCGAACAAAGAGTCTCATTTTTTCATCATCTGAATCTTCGTAACTACTTGAGTCATTATCAGTTTTCTCTTTATGTGAGGACTTGAAGCTAGAAGCCATAAGAGCTATTCACTTCTTCTTACCCTCCTTGTCTTTATTCTTCTTCTTTTTACTCTTGTTTTCATACTTTTCAAGATTTTTCAGTTCTTGTTGATGTTCATCTCAGAATTTTATTAGTAGCAATTTCATTGGAAACAGGTTTTCCAAGTGCATTCAAACGACTGATGAGATGAACGAATCTCCTTTGCATGTCGGAGACAGATTCTTCTTGTTTCATGCGAAAGAGCTCGAACTCTTGATTAAGTGTGTTAATGTGGGACTGTTTAACTTCAGTAGTGCCCTCATGGGCAATTTCTAAAGCATCTCACATTTCATTACCAGTCGTGCAATGAGACACCCGATAATACTCATTAACACCAAGTGCTGAAATTATCATATTTCGGCCTCTCCAATCGCTCGACCACTTCTTTTCATCTATTTCATTCTATTGATCCTCAGGTTTAGGTACTATAGCACCTGCATAATTCCTCATGGTAATTTGAAAGGGACCATTTTGAATGGAAGTCCATACATTCCTATCAATGGAATTTATGTGTACTCGCATGTATCTTTCCAGTAGCCATAGTTTTCACCATTGAAAATAGAAGCTCTATTGTACGCCCCTTTTGGTTCAAAAGCCGTAGCATTACTAGTAAACACAAAGCACCACCGAACTGGCGCTCTGATACCACTTATTAGACGGTGTGGCAAGTGATCGAGAGGGGGTGAATAGATCACCTCCTTATTTATCAAGGATTTAAAATCTTTTATCAAAGTTTATTAAAAACAGCGGAAAAACACGGTCCCGAATCGACTTCCGTCTATTTTGAACTGACTACTAGAAAACTGGATATACGATAAACTTGCTGGATTTCTATTAAGATGGAATAGATGAAATTTAACACAGATCAATGTATGTTTCAATGCGCTTATCACAAGAACACTATTTCCAATGAATAAAAACTTACAAGCACTTTTGTCAAACAGTTGGCATATGTGTGTTCGATGATCAACAATAAGGGTGATTTAGCAAAAGAGTTTGTACCATTATTGTATCATTGAACAGAAAAACCAACAGACCAATTGAATCACAAAAATGCAGAAAACATAAAGAGAAAGAGAGAAAGAAAACAATACACGGGCAGTTTGGTAAGGAAGTTCCCCACTGTCGTCCTCACATGTGGGTACGTCTCCCTCTCAATTCCAAAACTGAAATTGAGACCTGTTATATCAATTTGTTGAATGTTATTTACAATGTTACAATACAAAGACAGAACATAATCACTAAGATCTTCTTCTTCTTGTATGAACCTTCACTAGTGATTTGAGCTGATCAAGATTTCACCTGCAAGATCCATAATCAATCCTCCGCTTCCATGACCTATTTGTGAAATCACCCCGATTTCCAAACCCCTCGCTACGGCTGAATCTAACCTGTGCAATTGTGATTGACAAACCCGCAAGAACACACTTGTTCTTAAAGGACAAACCCTCTGGTTTTTCCTTGAAACCCCCTTCTGAATCTTCAACTCAGCTAAGATCACCGATCATACCACTGAACATTATCTCTAAGACCCCTTGATCTGATGAACAAAAATGATTATGTTTCGATGTTATTGAACCAAGGTGATTGAGAAGATGATGAAGATGAAGTATCTTTCAGGTTTCTAATGCTTAGAAAATTTGATGCACACCAACGGTATTTGTGACACATTTCTAGTTTAACTGCAAAAACTGTCTTATATATGTAACAGAAAACTGTTAGAGGTAAAAACCGCAGTATGAGTCGGTGCATGTCTAATATGAGTTGACTCATGTTAGTTGTAAAACATGGGATGATTCGATACAATATGTTATGTATCAATACATACTGATATCAAGAAATATTACAGAGAGATCAAATATGTATGAGTCGATACATAATGTGTATGTGTCGATTCATACTGAGTTGATTTTTGATTTCTGAAAACAAAACGTGATATGTATTGATGCATGAGTTCATGTGTCGATGCATAAAGGTTTTAAAACATTTTCCAAGAACATGAACTTGACATGTATCGATGCAAAGTGTGAATGGGTCAACTCATACTGAAGCAGAATTGTTTTTGTGATTTTTAGCTTAAGTATGTGTCGATGCAAAGCCTTTTGTATCGACCTGTGTGATACGTGAAGGAAAATTGCGATCAAAACGCAGCGGAATATAAAATTTTCCTTTAGAGATCCTTACGAATGAGCATGGTCAGTGATAGAAAGTTTTACCTCTTGTGGAGATTCAGACTTTTGATGTCGTGATCACGAGCGTTGATGAAGAACAACGCCTCTACTCAGTCCACACGAACAGATCGCTTCCGGTCACAGTGCTAGCTGATCACGAACGGAAACCTTGAGTGAGAGAGAGAGAGTCAAAAACGAAAATGCATCAAGTGAAAAAACTTCATCACAAGGGATCTATTTATAGAATCACTCGTGTGGGCTACAAGCTAAAAGCCCAATTAAGGCTATAAGCTAAAAGCCCAATTAAGCTTATGGACATCATACCTTATGATGTACCATATATCACTTATCCACGTGGTACCTTACCACTTTCCGTATTACACTTAAGTGCACCGTACCTTACGGTGTTCCTTATTTATTCTATCTCTCATCAACCTGTCCTTATGTGTGTGACCCTGTAGGTTTTCGCGACGTTGGCAATTATATTAAATTACACATTTAATATAATAAACAGTGAGCGGTATCTAGCAACACATCACTGTTACCCAAGTCACGAAAATGTCATGTGATCTGACCAAACCTTTTCCGTGATAATATTTGTGTTATACAATTACCCTTTTGCCCTCATGTCTATATTGAACACAAGGCATACACTGTGTCACCCTTGTCTAGTTCAATATTGGGCCCTTAGACATTTATCCTGTTATGCAGGATGAGCAAATTCCATCTAGGTCACTCATGTCCCTTAGCATGCTTTGTGAAGTACCCATCAACCATCTTTATAGTCATCCAGTTACGGATGACGTTTGATCAGCAATAAAGTACTTGACTCTACATCTAGGGTCCATAGTGGTTTCAGGTCGAAGGGTGGTATACACCATTATCATCATGAGAATAACTTATGACACTTTGCATAACATTTTA